CGGTGTCACTGGCCCTCATATGTGGGATCCGAACTGGGGCCCTCTGGCGTCCCAAGCCAGCTCTTAACCAACGCGCCACTCGGCCGGCCCTTAATTAATTACAAACTTTTAAAAAAATCATCACTTTGCTTATTTACCTCTCTTCATATATAGAATAAAATTGCAAAAGGTAATTGTTTTGGTAAAAACAACTCAGCCAGGGCCGGCCAAGCGGCTCAGTTAGTTGGTTAAGAGCGCGAGCTCTGAGCAACAGGGTCGCCAGTTTGATTCCCAAATGGGCCAGTGAGCTGTGCCTGAGCTGAGTTGCCGCTGAGCTGCCAACAGGTGGCAGGATGGCTCAGCTGGTGAGAGCATGTACTCCTAACAACAAGGTTGCCAGTTCGACTCCCACATGGGATGGTGGGTTATGCCCACCCACAACTAACATTGAACACGGCACCTTGAACTGAGCTGCCCTGAGCTGCCAACGGGTGGCCGGATGGCGACTAGACTTAGAATTGAGTTAGATGCACCCTCCACAAATAAGACTGAAGGACAACTTGGCTGTTCTCCAATTCCCCAATAAAACCTTAAAAAAAAACAAAAATAACACCTCAGCCAGATTTATTTAAAATTGGGAATTTTGAAAGCTGAATTTGTTACTCAGTCTCAAAGGCTCTTAATAGAACAATGTATGAGGTCTGACAATTAAGTTCGCAAAGTCATCCTGTTATACATACCTCATTGCTTACTATCACTACAGTCACCTTCGAAGTACTCCCCTTGGGAAGCTATGCACCAACACTGGTGTCTAGACTACCCTTCAAAGCAATTTTGGAACTCTTTTTCTGGAATGGCCATTAGAGCTGTCCCTCGTATTACTCTTGATGTCCTGAATGTCCTCAAAATGTCTTCCTTTCAATCTTTCCTTTATCTTCAGGTAAAGAAAGAAGTCATTGGGGGCCAGATCAGGTGAGTAGGGAGGGTGTTCCAATACAGTTATTTGTTTACTGGCTAAAAACTCCATCACAGACAGTGCAGTGTGAGCTGGTGCTTTGTAGTGATGCAAGAACCATGAGTTGTTGGCCAAAAGCTCAGGTCATCTAACTTATGCAGCCTTTTCACGTACTTCCAAATAGTAAACTTGGTTAACTGTTTGCCCAGTTGGTACAAATTTATAATGAATAATCCCTCTGGTATCAAAAAGGTTAGGGCCGGCCGAGTGGCTCAGTTGGTTAAGAGCTCGCTCAAGAGTTTGAGCTCTGAGCAACAGCGGTTTGATTTCCAGCCCGAGCTGAGCAGCCGCTGAGCTGCCAACAGGTGGCAGGATGGCTCCCCTTAAAAAAAAAAAAAAAAGTTAGCAGCATTGTTGCAACAAGTTCAGGGACTTGATTGTCAGACCTGGTATGTTATTTGTGGAAAAAGCAAATTAGAATTCTGCATGAAAGCTTCTTAAGATGAGATTATTTTAATTTAAATTGGAAGCCATAACAAAAACTTAAATATTATGACCTATTGTTGTGGCATTTTGTTCTCTATAAGGATAAAGTGGGCAAAAAGGAAATTGACAAGCTGCAAAGTTACCTTTTTATTTCAGTTTCAAACACCATTTATTCATCTTTTATAGTATAAAATAATTCAAAACAAAGCCAAAAACCCCTGAAACATGAAGCCTTTGTATAAATGGAATGGCTGAAATTGCAGTTTTACTTAACTATCATCTCTTTTTCTTTTGGGAATCAGTAATATCTTTGGGAAACGGAGAACTTCTCAAATAAGAACTTGTCAATTACATGAGCCATTCATTAATGAGCCCATGCTAATTGGGCTAGCTAGGGAAATTTTATATTTGAGCCTCTATAACAGTGGAGGTAAGATTAAGCAACATGTTAAGTATTTATAAAAAGAGTTAAGTAGATAAACATACAAATTTGTTTTCTCATATTTTACCAATTTCCTATAGAAACTAGAAAGGAATTGGTAAACATCATGTCAAACATAATTAAGGATACATTGTTCTGGGGCCTGCCAAGTGGCACGTTGGTTAAGAGTTGGTTTGGGACGCCAGCTCTGAGCAGCAGGGCCACCGGTTCGGATCCCACATGAGAGCCAGTGACACTGTGCCCTCTACAGCTAAGATGGTGAACAACAACTCGACCTGGAGCTGGGCTGCTGTGAGTCGCCAGCGATGGCGTAGGCTGCAGTGGGGCTGGCCAGCAGCTGGCGTGAGCTTTCGTGAGCAGCCGTCTAATGGCCGGCGAGCGACTGTCTCAGCCTGGAAGAGTGCAGTGATAATACCAACATGGGCCAGTGAAGCGATGTCCTCTGCAACTAGATTGAAGAACAAAAAGTACAGCAACTTATCTGTTTCCCAAAGAACAAAAAAGTACAGCAACTTGCCTGTTCCCCTTGCCCGATTTCCCCACGCTGTTCTCCTCCCCCAATTCCCCAATAAAATGTTTTTTTTTTAAAAAAAGATACGTTGTTCTGTGTGTGAAGGAACAAGCAGTGGAAGAATATAAGTTTCTCTGTAATTTATACTAATATGTAAATGTTTCTGAGTGAGAAAGGAAGAGAAAACTGAAAAAGATGTTATTCTTCAAGATTTTCTCTATTTTGGGTTTTTAGTAGTTTGACTAAACTACTACTAGGCATAGTAGATGTGGTAGGTGTGATTAAATCTGTACTTAACGTCTTTTGCCAAATTTAAGAAATAACATTAAAAATGTTTTTTAAAGTCTTTAGAAGAGATTTTTTTAAAAAATATTTTTATTGGGGAATTGGGGGAATGGGAACAGCGCTGGGAAATTGGGGGAAGGGGAACAGACAAGTTGCTGTCCTTTTGTTCTTCAGCCTAGTTGTGGAGGATGTTGCTTCACTGGCCCAAGTTGGCACCATCATTGCGCTCTTCCCAGGAGAGGCAGATCAGTCGCTGGCTTCTGGACGGCCGCTCACAGCGGCTCCTGGCCACTCACACTGGCTGCTGGCTACACACGGTAGCCCATGGCAACCCACTGTAGCAGGCTGCAGCCTTCTCCATCGCCGGTGACTCACAGCAGCCCAGCTCCAGGTTGAGCTGTTGTTCAGCATCTTAGCTGTAGAGGGCAGTGTCACTGGCTCTCATACGTGGGATCCAAACTGGGGCCCTCTGGCGTCCCTTGCCAGCTCTTAACCAATGTGCCACTCGGCTGGCCCAGAAGAGATCTTATATATTTGAAATTTTAGAGAGTTGACTATTTACAAGATTAATTAGTTCAGAAGTAACCAACTTGTCATGTAATATGCTATAAAGGAGATGTTTATAAATCAAATCTCAGTAGCTTCATGTAAATAAGGAAATAATTCAGTCTTTATATTAAGTGTATGTCAAATTTTCAGCCTATGAATTTAACTATTTTTGCTGATTTTTTCTCAAGATGTTTGAAAGTTAAGTGCCTGAGACCATTGGTTATTCATGTGTATGTGTTTTTGTTGTAGAAATAACATTCCAGCCAATTATACCAGGAGTGGAAATAAATTAAGTCATCAGAAGGACACTCGTCAGGCAACGTTTCTTTTCAGAAGAGGCCTGAAGGTATAAAAAACCCTTGGTATGGTGGTTTCTTTTTACCCAAACAAAGGATCCTGAACATTCATTCATCTTTAGTAAGCCTTAATCATAGCTGTGGTTGAGGTAGGGGTTGGGTATGGGGTGTGGAGAATATGACATTAGATTAGTTCCTTTTCCCCCCTCCTTTTCTCTCGTCCTTGATAGCAACATCATATAAGAATTTAAAATGTTATTTAGGAATAAACCTGTTTTTACTACTTGTTGTGATTCAGGAATCCCAACAAAGAGGTGTCACCAGAATAGGCAAATGCCCCTCCTGCATTCGTATACATATCATGGTGGGTTATAAAGTTAGGAGGATAATCTCTGGATTCAAGTCCTCTGCTTTCTGTGGGATCTACTGCTTTTTTTTTCCCTTCAGGTTCAGGCCCAGTTGAACACAGAACAACTGCTAGATGATGTAGTAGCAAAGAGAACTCGTCAGTAAGTTTCAATTTGTTTTTCAAGTCATTTCCAAACTCCCAGAATACTAGTGACCCAAAATACTTTGTGCCCTAGTCCAAAATAAATTAAATGAGACCTAAAGTAAATTAACCTTTGAGCCTGAAATAAATAAATCCTTTTGTTTTTGCTATTTTTTTCCTCAAAATCTTTTGTATTTTCACATATCAGTATTTTAACACTTTTAGCACCAAAAACATTGCTCTATTTTTAATTTCTTTTACTCCCCAATTATTCTGTTTTAATGAAACAGTTCTTTATTTTCTGTAACTGCTTTTTTTTATTATTTTTTTTATTTTTAAAAAGATTTTAATTAAATATAGCTAACATACAATATAATATTAGTTTCAGGTGTACACCACATAGTTCTTCAACATTTACATAGCTAAAGAAGTGATCACCATAAGCCCAGCAACCATCTGACACTGTACTATGGTATCACAATATTATTATTATTTTTTAAATTGTGAAATACACATTTTTTAGAATTAGTTTCAGCTGTACAACACAGTGCAATAGTTATACTTTTTACCCCTCAAAGTGACAACCCCCCCAATCCGCCGCCCCACTTCCCCCCCAATATCATACATATCTATTACCATTCCCTTGACTCCACTCCCACACTATACTCCATGTCCCATGACTATATATATTCTGTAACTGCTTTTATACAAATGAACCTATTCAGTGAATAAATAGAAAATCCATAGAGCTTTTTGTAAAATTTGTAAACCTTTAAAAACAATACGATATTTTTCCATTTCACATATTCTTTTTTCCCCCTTATCCCTATAAAGGTTTTTTAAAAATATTTTTTTGTCTGTTAGAATTGCACTTCCCAAGTAAGAGGTGTAACATTCTAATTTCATCAATATGATCAGGTTTTGAGAATAATCTATTCAAAATTTTGGAAAACCAAACATACAAAATATGATCATGGTCCACACATATCATGCCACCTAAAATGAGGCATGATTTTGAACAATCGGAGTGTTGGAAAACTCGATGCTGGCAGTATTCTTTTGCACAGAAATGATGACATTGGAAACCATAAGGAAGAAAATGATTATAGATTATTTGCTTCCACATGAACAGTATTTACATAATTGTAATAATATGAATGCTGTTTGTTTGTTTTGAATCAACCTATGGAACAAAGCACAAAATTCTTAATTTGGTAACACTGTAATGTAAATGTCAGATTTGGATTAACATAAATATAAAAGGAGAGCTGATAAGAAGTGGGAGGTACAAAGTGGGAGAAGAGGTGGAAGGAAAGAAGGAAGTTACTATTGATAAGAAGTGGGAGGGGATGGTGTCAAGAGACTACTGAAAGAAAGGGATTTAAATATATTTAAGTTATAATGGAAGTAAAATAGTGATACAGCCATCAAAACATTTAGAATTAGGTAGGAAAACTAAAAGATAGTGTGATGAATCCGAATCATAGCAAATTTATTACACAAGCATCTTGTTTAGTGAAGTGGAGGTAACTAGCAAGTGGTAAAAACAGGAAAGATTTAAAAGTACTGTTCTAGGGAGCAGGAAGCAGGAGAGTAGTGAGGTGAAGGACTGTTGCTTTTCTTTAGAATTCTTTCTGTATTATTTGATTTTTTAAAAAATGCATGTGTTTGTTACACTGAAAAATATTTAATAAAATGTCTAGTTCTTATACCCAAGGTGCTGATTAATTATATCATGATGGGGCACAGGTATCCATTTCTTAAACGCTGAGAAAAAGCAATAGCTACTTTAAAATGTATGTTTTTTTATGTTAAATACACTAGGATTTATAAACTTCCATTCTAATGCAGTTTTTGGTTTTTTTGAAACTAGATGGCGAACTTCCACCACAAATGGAGGAATTTTGACTGTATCCATTGATAACCCTGGAGCAGTGCAGTGCCCGGTGTAAGTCTTTTCTTTATTTTGCAGAAATTGTAACCTCTCAGTATATATTATAAGATAATAGAAAATTATTTGACTTCTGCTCAGAGTATGGATAAACTGAGACAAGGATAACAGTAATACTTGTGATACTAAATAGAAATAGTATATAGTTAAAAGTAAAACTCCCTTGATTTCCTGGTTCTACAGCCCCAAAGCAACCAAACACTTGTAACAGTTTCATAATTTTATTTTAAAAGTTTGGTGCCTATATAACAAATAATATATACACCAATTTTTTATGTAGGTTATAATAAATGAGATAATACTATACATACTTGTTCCATACTCTCCTTCCCCCCAGTATATTTTGAACAGTTTTACTTTTTGGTACACACAGACATACCTTCTTTTAAAAGTCCATAGTATATTCTTTTATCTAGATGACCTTAATTTAGTTAACCATTAATATTTATTGCATTATAAACTTTGTAGATTTATGGAGATTTTGATCTATTCAGCCATTTTAATGATTAAAATGAAAAGAATGTAAGATGGGTCTCTAAGACTTCAGAGATTGCTTTTTTTTAGTAGAAAATCAAGATTTGGAAATAAACCATTCCAAATTGTTGAAAAGTTTATAGTTCTGCTTAAAGAGGTATTCTGTGAGTGATTATAAATTATAGTCCTACTCAATCAAGAACCATGTACTTTTTTTATTTTTGAGAACACAAATAAAATAACACTAATACATTTGAACATGAGTACAAGTTAAGATACTTTATGTAGCAAATGATTTATTTTTCTTATTTTGATTAAACTGGTCTAATTTAATTTTAATTTTTTTCTAATAGAACTCAGAAACCGCGATTAACTCGTACTGGTGTACCCTCATTCTTAACAAAACGGGAGCAATCTGATGTAAAGAAAGTTCCTAAAGGTGTCCCCCTGCAATTTGACATAAATAGTGTTGGAAAACAGGTAAATTTTTTTCCCCTGTGTTTTTTTGAGCTATTCACTGAGAGCATTTCCGTTAACAAATGTGCAGTGAATTAAATAGGGTGCCCTAAGTCTCCTCAACCCTAGGAATCCACTGATCTATCTACTTTCTGTCTATAGATTTGCCTATTTTGGACATTTCATATGAATGGGGTCATACAACATGTGCTCTTTTGTGATTGGCTTCTTTCACTTAGCATAGTATTTTCAAAGTTCACCCATGGTGTATCAATATTTCATTTCTTTTCATTGCTGAATAATGTTCCATCATATGGATATACCATATTTTATTTATTCATTCATCAGTTGAGGGACATTTGTGTTGTTTCCATTCTTTGGCTGTTGTGAATAATGCTCCTCTAGACATTCATTTACATGTTTTTGTGTGAGTTTATGTTTTCATTTCTCCTTGGTAAGTTACCTAAGACTGGTATTACTATGTCACATTGTAACTCTCTGTTTAACCTTTTGAGGAACTGCCAGACTGTTTTCCAAAGTAGTGGCTGCACTGTTTTACATTGCTACCAGCATGTAGGAGGATTATAAATTTCTCCACATCTTCATCAACACTTGTTGTTATTAGTCATTTGATTATAGCCATCCAAGTGCATCTAAAATGGTATATCTCACTATAGTTTTGACAGTTGTTATATTAACCTTGGATCTTGTGATATTGGTAAAATTTACTTACTACTTTTTGTAATTCTGTAGATTCCTTAGGATTTTCTGTGTAAACTATCATGTCATTCTCCAAATTTCTTTACAACCAAATCTTTAAACCTTTTCTTCTTTATTATAATGGGTAGGACCTTCAGTACATGTTGAATAGAAGTGGTGAGAGCATGTATGCCTGCTCTGAGGGAAGTCCCTTGTATTCCTAAGTTGCTGAGAATTTTTATCATGAATGGGTGTTGGATTTTGTCAGATAACTTTTTTGTATTCACTGACATAAAAATCTGTGAATTGAAGGTATGACATATCTTCAGAAATTTGACCAAATTTAATTTGCTACTTTTACTTTATTTTGTCCTTATTACTTTCCTTTCAGAAATGGTGAAGTATAATTTGGGTGTGCTTCCTGCTATTAATCAAAAACCAGATTTTGATATGAATTTGATTTTGAGTTCACAGAAATTCAGGAACTCACAGAAATTCAAGAAAATTTATTTCAAAATATTCACAAGACTAAATAACTCCAACTTTTATCAGAAGTATCACTAGAGTTGGTGGCAGTATTTGCAGAGCCTAAAAATAATTCAGATAGAGACATCTTTGGGTATATGATTTATAGGCATTGTAGTATATGTGTTTTATATAGTGTATAGTGTAGGCATTATAGTGGTTAGGAGCTAGAGATCCTGAGTCAGACTGCCTGGTTTGAATTCTGGAGCTGCAAGTAGGCAAGTTAATGTCTCTAAACATCACTAAATTCACCTGCTTCATATGGTTTTGTTAGAATTAGATGAGTTCCTACACATAAATATTCAGGAAATGTTAGCTCTTGTTACTATGAATTACTATTATGTACAAGCACATTGTTCTAAAGCAAATATGGCTTACTGTCAAGTTGTTAATTTTTGTCTTGTTTTCTCTAGACAGGGATGACTTTGAATGAGCGATTTGGGATTCTGAAGGAACAAAGAGCCACTCTCACGTTCAACAAAGGAGGAAGCCGCTTTGTAACCGTGGGATAGATCCCGTGTCAAAAGAACTTTGGAGTGATGACTCTGTTTAAAAAGTTGAATTGCTTGAAGTTTATCACAGAAATTCAAGAAACTTTATTTCAAAATATTCACAAGGCTAAATTACTCTTATTTTTATTTTTGAATTTTTTTTTTGTTTTTTTTTTTAAATGTATAAATAATGCCCTGAAAGAATAACAGGGAATATACCTATCTGTTCTTAAAGATTTCTTGGTTGGCCCAGACAGAACAGTTCTCTGTTTGACTTTTTGGTTCCTCATGAAACAGAAAGAAGACAGAAAGATAGAAATTAATTATTTTTATGGTAGTGGTATTTAAAATCTCATCTCCTTTGCCCATTTTTTACACTTGGCCATGATAAATCTTGGTCTTCAGAAATATGAGTAAGTCCCTTTGTTGCTGTCACTTATTCTTTAATAGTGTTGATGTAATAAGTGCAGTTGACTTCATTAGAGATATTTAAAAAATTAGAATTCCACTTTTGTGTTTTAAGATCTGTGGAAATATATGGAACTTGGCTCATTTTTCACATAGTATTAGGTCAATCCTCTAGAGTTAAAAATATTTAAAGTTGAAATTTTAACAAGAAAGGTGACTCTAGGCATTAGTCTCAGTTTAAAATGTTGCTGTTTGAAGGCTATAAATGCATGTTTACAAAGTTATCTAGTAGAGCCTTGGAGAAGGTCCAGTGTAAAAATCTGACAGTTTGTGGAAGTAAATGAAAAAAAACATGAGAGGAAATAATAGGTTGAAGACAGGTAACTGAGGTGAAAAACTTTAAAACCCCCGTCATAGATATACTGTTTGGATTTATTGTAGTCTTGAGTCTAGTGTCCACAAAGAATTCTTCAAATGGTAGAAAAATTATAATTATTAAAATGGATTGAGTCCCTTAGATATTTTGATAGTAAAATTCATAGCCATAAAGTCTTTTATTTCCTTATTATTTGAAAAGTTAAATCTTACCAGCATTTAAACTTGCTAAATTAAACAGTATACAGCTCCAAAAACAAAACTATACTTGTATATGTCACAAAGAAAAAAATGCAAAATGAGAATAGAGTAACATTGTAACCTTATACCTTTCACTCTGATTTCTTGTGTAAAGTTCAGGCATTTATGGTGAGAAAAGGTCCCCCGGCCCTGCCATGCTCTGGAGGGGAAGGAGGTAACAGTTAGTTTGTTGTGCCAAGTTAGTGCTGAGTCCTCAGATGGTTGTAATCTACAAGTTATGGTATAATGCCAGAATGCAGCAAAATACCCAGCTACAAGTTTGTTCATTTTGAAGCTTAACCTTTTGACTTGCTATAATGTTAAAACCTCTAAATAGGTGTTAGCTTCCCTAGAGTGTATTATTAGTGTTGATTTTCCCTATTAAAAAAACAAACAAACACGAAAAATGAAACAAAACATAAAGTTATCACTCCTGCCTGCCTTGCATTGTATACTAGGTTTCATTGTTGTCTCCCATGCTCCTTGGGTTACTTGGTTCATGCTAGACACGGAAAGCTATCAAAAACAGTTCCATGCTTATACCAAAGAATTAAATCTGATCCTTAATACCTGGTATTTTGCCAGTAAATCTACTGATAAAGGATTATTGGAAGCCTGTCACACAATTTAAAAATAAACTCTAGTCTCTCCTTAGGCCAAGGACTCACTGCAAAACATTTTTGCAAGAATGAATACTTAGATTTAATCCATGAACCAATACATTTTAGACTGGTTTAGAATTTCTGATAGCTTATTTTAAAGCAGAGGAAAAACAACTGAGCACGAGTTTGCTGTCTATAGAACGGTTTGTGAAAATATGGTATAAAGATTTTTTCATTTTCTTGTTATTTTAAATATTGTACAGAGCTATTATTAATGCATTTTTTTGGAAAAACCTTAAAAATTGCCCCAAATATTGACATTAAGGTCTTCAAACAACAGTGTCTTTGGTATATTAAACTTTTGCTATTCATGCATCTGTAATTTCATTTTCTTTTTAAATATAAAATTTTGCTTTCATTACAACTAAATTAAAATTCTTCAGTGCTAACGTGTTGTATATAAACAAAAGAATATGCTTTCTTGGAGGAAAATTTCCTTCTTTGAATGTGGTTGTAGTCATCCTTTTTCAGTTCTTAAAGTTTTTCTTTAAACAAGATGCAACTTAAATTTATTTCCTTTGCATCAAGGTGTATGCAAAACATTGATGCAGTGCATCACAAAATGAAAGTTTGTATTTAATGAGGAGATGCTTTACACTGTACTTTTTGGTGTTTTTTGGAGAAGTTACATTTAGATCTATTCTGAAGCTGTTCATTTTTAACAAATAAAATCTTATAGGACTCATGTGATTTATTCTTAGCTATAAAGATTGAGTTGTGGTTTTTAGATTGTTCTGTTACAAAACCTTTGTAGTGATTATAAAATTTTTAGGGTTTTAAAAGCTACCTACCAACTAAATTGGTAAATCAATCTAGACCAGCGGTTCTCAACCTGTGGGTCGTGACCCCTTTTGGGATCGAACGACCCTTTTACAGGGGTCGCCTAAGACCATCGGAAAACAAAAAAATACTTACATTACGATTCATAACAGTAGCAAAATTACAGTTATAAAGTAGCAACGAAAATAATTTTATGGTTGGGAGTCACCACAACATGAGGAACTGTATTAAGGGGTCGCGGCATTAGGAAGGTTGAGAACCGCTGATCTAAACTCATATTCAATCCCTTTAAACAGCCTTTTGATCATTTCATTCATAACTCCAATAGGAAGTAGCCAGGAGGAGTTAAAATAGAGAATCACATTTACTTAGAATGCAGGGTATTGTGCTGGATGAGCTTTTAGAGATCATCCAGTTCATCCCCTCTTTTTACATCTTAGTTAAGTGAGACCTGGCTTTTCAAGAGTTGTGTGTGGCAGAGTCATTTTTTGAGCTTAGATCTTTTAATTCTCAATTCATAATAAACTGAATTAAACACCCACAGAAAGCAGTGGAATGGTGTGTGGCTTGTCAGATATCTAAGAAGTGGTAATAGCCATACTTGAGCATTGGTAGCATGGTAGGTAAATCTACCAGTGATGATTATGAGACTTCATTACTTCGGTATTCATATTATTTACACGTATTAGAAAAGGCCAGTGTTCCTAATCAGACTGTGTGTTTTTTTCTAACAGGCATAAACTTGACCACAATTCTAATTATAAGCAAATCATAAAATACTTCTAAATATGAAGAAACATAGGCTTCATTGTCCAATGGTTATTTTTTTTGTTAGATATGTATATCATTTTACTGTCAATAGCTTTATAATTCACACAACATACAGTGTCAGGGTAATTTTTGTTCTTTTTAGGGGATGGTGATTTTCTGATTTCTATTATAAGGGGATAAGAGAAAAAATAGCTGGCTTTACACTAAAGAGAATTAATTCCATACATTCTGAATGTAGGCAGTATTAGGGCAGAAAATGATTTCATTTCTGATCAGTATGCCTTTGAACTTTAATAAGAATTATGATTGTTTTTGCCACTGTAAAAACAAAACGTGATTTTAAGCTTCCCTTTAAAGAGAGTTCTTTTTGCATAGGTTAATTTGGAATCTGACCCTTTTAAAAATGATGAGCTGGAGAGAGCTATTGAGATTTGAGTGGAACCTTTGCTCCTAATTTTCAGCCTGTAAAATAGGAAGAAGCAGAGAAGTTCTCTATATCTATTCCTCATTCAGTAACCCCAGTGCCTATATTTTCAACCCCTACTTCCAGTCCACAGAGCAGTAGTGGAATCAGTTCTAGGTCCCTGTAACCCTTTTGTTCACAGCCTTTATGCAATTGTTTTTCATCATTTCATCACTTTTATGTATCACTAGGCTGGTGAACTTCCCACAATGACTCCATTTCACTTGATTTGTAGAGAAGATTGAGGAAGTGGGATGGAAATTCCCTCATATTCTATCTTTGCTTTGTAGGTGAAATCTCAAATACTTAGGAGTCTCAGAACGCCTTGATCTATCTTTTCTTCCCGTCTTCTTTACCTAGGACTTGTTCTCGTAAATGGTATGTATAGCACCTTCATTTTCCTTGTATCCACAAGCCTTTCTGCCTTCACATATCTACATAAGTACCCTGTACTCAAAAACTAATTATTGGGCCGGCCGAGTGGCTCAGCTGGTTAAGAGCTTGTTTGGGAGCACCAGCTCTGAGCAGCAGGGCTGCGGTTTGGATCCCACATTGAGGGCCAGTGACGCTCGCCCTCTGCAGCTAAGATGAGCAATGGCTGGACCTGGAGCTGGGCTGCTGTGGGTCACCGGACGGCGTAGGCTGCAGCGGGGCTGCAATGGGCTGCTGTGAGCTATGTGAGTGGCTGGCAGCCAGTGTGAGCGGCTGGTGTGAACTACCGGGAGCCGCTCTGAGCAGGCGACCAACGATCAGCGACCGATTGCCTCTCCTGGGAAGAGAGTGCAATGATCATACCAATATGGGCCAGTGAAGCGACGTCCTCCACAACTAGACTGAAGAACAAAACAGCAATTTGTCTACCTGCCTGTTCCCTTTCCCCTATTCCCCAACGCTGTTCCCCTCCCCCCAACTCCCCAATAAAATCTTAAAAAAAAACAAACTTTTTTCTCTCCTCCCAACTTTCTCTCCTGTATTAATACATAACCTCTACTGTGTTATAACTCATCTTCTGTCTGTTTCCACTATTTTTTTTAAAGATTTTATGAGGGAATTGGGGGAAGGGAACAGTATTGGGGAATTGGGGAAGGGAACCAGCCAAGTTGTTCTTCATTGTGGAGGGCACCAGTCACCATCTAGCTTCCCATCGGCAGCTCGTGGCCTCTAAGCTCAAGGTGCTGTGTTCAGTCTTAGTTGCGGGTGGGCGTAGCCACCATCCCATGCGGGAGTCGAACCCAGCAGCCTTGTTGTTAAGAGCGCACGCTCTATCCACTGAGCCATCTGGGTGGCAGCAGCTCAGCTCAAGGTGCCAAGTTCAGTCTTAATTGCGTAGCCCACCATTGAACAGGCAATCTTGTTAAACCAGCTGAGCCATCCTGCCACCTGTTGGCAGCTCAACGACAGCTCAGCTTGGGCGCAGCATCACTGGCCTATGTGGGAATTAAACCTGCAGCCCCGTTGCTCAGAGCCCGTGCTCTTAAGCCAACTCAACCAACTGAGCCACTTGGTCGGTCCATCTTTCCACTATTTTTATAAACTGTTAATATACTCAGCCCTGGATTAGAGAAGATAATGGTAGCTTAACATAGTAAGGGCCTTAAAATCTAGTTGAATAGACAAAGTAATATCAACTATAAACTTGGCCAGAAGTTCAGAGACCAAGATTAACATGAAATGTTGCAATTATGAGATGTGCAGGTAGTTAGGAATAAGACCATACTATGGAGAGCTTGTCAGAAGAAGAATTTAATGTAAATGTGGAAGGTAATAGGTAATGAAATATAGATGACATAATGGTGCATTTTAGAAAGATCTGGCAAATTTCTGGCATTGTGTTAATATGGAATGTATGATTATGCTTGTAGTCATTGTAGTTGAAATACTGAATTTCTAAAAATATAAAATGAAGTCCTGCTCTAAAATAGCTTAAAATCTTTCTAAGAATAACAAAATTTCAGGAAGACCAGAATAACAACCAATTCATGTAGTGGATACATGTTATTTGTCAGGAACAACAAATATATCACTTGCTATTGCAGTGACCCATGCTCATAAAGGGCATTGATAATCATGAAACTTGTTGCTCAAGAGCCTAATATGTAGTATTGAGTCCAGAGAACAGCTCTGAGCAGCCATTACTAATGAGCTTCGGCACTGAGATTAAACATTTTTACAGTCTCTTCCAATTAGGAGCTGCGGAAAGTGCAAACAGGGTTTTATTGAAGAGTTGGGCCTTGAATGATGAGTAGGATCTCACCAACCTTATTTTCTTTAGTTTTTTGACATGAACTTTTTGGCCTGTGGCCCTCATGTTCTCCATATGTACCATTATAAATCATACCTACGTGTGATCATGGTGATCCTCCTCAATCTGGAATATTGCTGTCATCTTCCAGCCTATCCCACTTCATAATCCAGGTTTGATTCAAAACCTCATTCATCCACAATATAAATTGCTTTTTGAATTCTGGTAATACGCCCCACCCCGACTCAGGCTTTTTTGGTTGTCTTGTTCTCTAATTGGTCTATTTGTCTGGATTCTATAATTAGATTATAATCTAAGAGAAGGACTGTGTCTGACAGCCTTTTCTATTTCCCTGAGTAAAAAACTAGATGATTGATTGTAGGGGAAATTTACATCATGTAGCAGGAATGGCTTAAACATGCAAAAGAAACAAGAATATGCTAAACACATTGCAATATAAGTGAAGTCTCATTGGTTTAAAATGAAGTGGTATTTTCCACTTTTTCAGTAACTGGTTTCGTTTTTTACCATTTCTTCAGTTCTACCTTTACTTCCAAAATTTAGGTTATGACCAGACCATTTTCTCTTCCTCAGTTTTTGTTCCAGGTAAAAATTTTAGACTTTAATGCCGTTCATCTTGCTTAAAATCTTACCTAAAGGACAACTATTTAAGATGCTTATTTTATTTTCATTAAGAGCTATTCCATAAAAGGATGGGAAGAGAGGACCTAAAATATTTCTATTACCCTTTCAATGAGAATTATGGCATTTAGGATCCAATTTAGCCCTTATTTTTCCCTCAGGTAATAAGAGTCAATAAGTCCACAAGTCTCCATTTACATCATTTGGTTTACAGAATGACATAAATTGGGAAATGTTTTAGGTCATATCCCAGGGTTCCCCTCTTTCACTACCTAAGTTTCTGGCAACAAATGTTAGGAAGCCTTAACTTAATGCTTAATCAAATCCTCTAGTACTGAGGGAAGAAGACAGAGAAGTTTTGGTGAGGAGCGTGGTCTGAAAGGTATTTTTGTAGAGACGTTTTAGAAACGCTACTAGACTTTAGACTAGAGTAACGGCTGCTCCAGATGTGTGAGTTCCGTTTTATTTTCTCTTGAAAACCTCGTGGGCGGAGGCAAGCGCTTGGATGTACGCAGGAGGACCGCAGCCCTGCCCATGAAGGGAACGGTTCAGGGTCTGTATGCCCCTTTCCCCGCCCACCCATCAGTTCTGGTCGCGCATGCGCTAACCGGCGGGTCGGAGATTTGTCGGCTGGGAAATGGCGGCCGCAGGCTTGGTGGCTGTGGCCACGGCTGCAGAATACTCTGGCCCAGCAGCGTCGGGAGCTAACCTCTCCGGTGTTAACGGCGGCTCAAGCTCCGGGGCAGGCCCTGGTCCTGGCCCGGTCTCGTGGAGCCGCTCCATCGATCGAGCGCTGGAGGAGGCGGCGGTAACCGGGGTGCTGAGCCTGAGCGGCCGGAAACTGAGGGAGTTTCCCCGGGGAGCGGCCAGCCACGACCTGACGGACACCACCCGCGCGGGTGAGTTGAGTGGGGGCTTCCTTGTCGGCTGGAGGCCCTTGGCGCGGCGGGAGGCCGCTCCAGCCGGTGGGAGGACTCGGGGAGGGGTGGTTACAGCAACTGGTCCTATAGCTCCTGGTCGGGACTCGGGTAACGGGGAGAGGGGAACTTGCCCCAACCCAACCAGCCCCCCTGGCCTGCGGACCAGACCCCAAGCCTGGAGCGAGGCGGACAGCAGCATCTCTCGAGGAAGAGCACCATAGGGATTGATGGGTGGTGTTTTACTCTCCTAGGAAATTAGCTTATGCCGCTGCTGATCTTAGACCCTTGCCCCGCCCCGGTTTCTGCAGGCCCTTTCGGATTTGAGATTCCAAGTTGACTTTGCCAAGATTTGGGACGGTAGCGCGCTGTTATTGTATCAGAATAGCGTTGTCGCTGCATTGTCAGGAATGCTTCGATCTCAGCACTGGCGTTTTTCAAAAGTTGTTTTTAATGTGGATCCGAACGTTGTAACTTTTCTTTCGCCACCGTCATCTAGCTGACTTACCAAATGTACTTGTAAAAATAACTAGAGCCCACCTTCAGATTCCCATTACTTTCATCTCTCCTCATTGCCTCTTCCCCCCCCACCCCCGCCCCGCAAAAAAAAGTTGAAGGAAGAAAACTACTTATAAACAATACATAGATTGCCTACTATATCTGTATTTAATGCTTTTTAAAAAACAATTGTTTTGCTTTATACATATTTTTGAACAGGAAAGATACTAAGGAATTCGGTTTTCCTAGTTGTAGAGAACTCTGTCTGGTGACTGAGATGTTCAACGTATGTTTCTCTTGTGTTTAAAATATAGCTTTCCTCAGGGAGTAGATTAAAAACTAAGTCTATTCATGTTTTGCACAAATACGAAGGAGGAAAAGAATCCATAACACAAGTTTCTATAGTATGATGTAGTTAAGTCCTGTTTTATTTCCATATAGTGTTTTTGCAACCAAACAATATGTACTTCGTGTCTTATATTTATTCCATTTTATTTATCTTATTTTAAAATCTTCAATTTAACACTTTTTTATGTTTGTACACTCATCAAAGATTGGTATTATGTATGTATGATTCACTCATGTTAGAAAAATAAACAGCTGTTAAACTGCTTCAAGAAACTATTCTTGGGACGGCCAAATGGCTCAGTTGGTTAAGAGTTGGCTTAAGAGCACAAGCCCTGAGCAACAGGGCCACCAGTTCGATTCCCACATGGGCCAGTGATGCTGCGCCCTAGCTAAGCTGTCTCTGAGCTGTCGCTGAGCTGCCAACAGGTGGCCAGATGGCTCAGCTGGTGTAACAACAAGTATTGCCTGTTCGATGGTGGGCTACGCCCACCTGCAACTAAAACTGAACTCGGCACCTTGAGCTGAGCTGCCTCCTGGATAGCTCAGTGGATAGAGCGTGTGCTCTTAACAATAAGGCTGCTGGTTTGACTCCCACATGGAATGGTGGCTACTCCCACCTGCAACTAAGATTAAACACAGCACCTTGAGCTTAGAGAACAAGAGCTGCCGATGGACAGCCAGATGGCGACTGGTGCCCTCCACAACGAAGATTGAAGAACAACAACTTGGCTGGTCCCCTTCCCCAATTCCCCAACACTGATCCCCTCCTCCATTCCCCAATAAAAATCTTTAAAAGAAAGAAAGAAAGAAAGAAAGAAAGAAACTATTTTTTCCAAAGAAACTTTTGCTGCAGTGTAAAATGGAAGAAATTCAATGCCTGCTTATTTAATTTTTGGAAACAGTTGTACTGAATGTAGTTTGTATATTTTAGTGAATGATAATTAAAGTTAAACTTTCTTGCTAAGGTAAATATGAACCAGCCACTTGCCTTTGGCATGTGTTCTGCTAGACAACATCTAAAATTGTTATTCATACCCCATATTTTCTGATTCTGTTCAGGAGATGGCTATATGGCATATGACTGTTCAGGAGATAGATAGCATAGCAGTTTCATATTGGTGTGAGTCATCTCAATATTACTATGTTAAGCCTGAAGCTAAAGAACAAGTTAATTAACAGGAGTTTACATAGCTCATTATCTTACCTATTTCAAAATAGTTGTAGGACCAACATGTTTTGCTTTTAAGAAATATTTTATTAACTAATAAAGAAAACCCAAGGGCATTTAATGAAGACTAATAAGTAATCCCAATGAATTTTTTCCTTACTGTACTCTGAATTTTTAATTTATTATCCACATTTATTTTATTACTTTAAAAGTTTCTATATAAACCAATTTTTTGTTGGTTGACATTTTATCTGATCGAAAAGTGTAAAAAAGAGACAAGGTATTTTATAACCTATTAGACTAAATTCATTTTAATATGTTAGAAATAGTATAAGAAATCTTTGGTAGACCTTGGTAAATACAAAAACGCTGAATTATTCTCTGAATTATTTAAACATAATTTGATGTGGATAAGATCATGTATTGAGTTTTCACTGCTTGCTGTGGTAGGTGTTTTAAAATACATTGCCTTGTTAAATGCTTAACAACCAATGGATTAAATATTATTATCCCCACTTTACATATGAGGAATCACTCAGAGAAAGTCATATAACTAGAATTAATGGTAGAATTTCAGCCCAGGTCCATTTAATTGTTTTCTCTCTACCACACGGCCTCCCTATGTATAGATAGGTATTGCCATTCCTGTTTTTACAGATAGTGAACCCAAGGTTTGGAGAGATAAGATAATTTGCTCAAAGACCTGTAGCTAAAGGCCAGGTAAGGTAGTATTAGCCAGTATTTGAGCCTACTTTGAGGTAACTCCAAAACCATAGTCCATCTGTTATACCAGGTACTTTGATTATTTATTTTTTTCAGTTACAGTTGACATTCAATATTATTATTATTATTATTATTATTTTTAAAGATTTTATTAGGGAATTGGGGGAGGGAACAGCGTTGGGGAAGGGGAACAGACAAGTTGCTGTCCTTTTGTTCTTTAGTCTAGTTGTGGAGGACGTCGCTTCACTGGCCCATGTTGGTATTGTGATCATTGCGCTCTTCCTTGAGACAAATTGGTCGCAGGCCGTTGGACGCCGCTCTTGCTGGCTGCCAGCCATTCATGGTAGCTTATGGCAGCCCACTGCAGCCTACGCCGTTGCCGGTGGCTCACGGCAGCCCAGCTCCAGGTCGAGCTGTTGTTCACCATCTTAGCTGTAGGGGGCGCAGCGTCACTGGCCCATGTGGGATCCGAACCGGTGGCCCTGCTGCTCAGACCTCTCGCTCCCAAGCCAACTCTTAACCAACGATCCATTCGGCTGGCCCTCAATATTATTTTATATTAGTTTCAGGTGTACAGCATAGTTTATGCAGTGATCCCCCATTAGTCTAGTACCCACCTGGCACTATACATAGTTGTTGCAACATTATTGACTATATTCTCTATGCTGTACCTTACATTTCCTGTGACTATTTTGTAATTACCAATTTGTACTTCTTAATCCCTTCGCCTTTTTCACCCAGTCCCCTAACCACCCTCCCGTCTGACAACCATTAGTTTGTTCTCTGTATCTATGAGTCTGTTTCTGTTTTGTTTATTTATTTTGTTCTTCAGATTCCACATATAAGTGATATCATATGGTATTTGTCTTTCTCAGCCTGACTTATTTCACTTAGCATAATACCCTCTTGGTCCATCCATGTTGTCGTATACCAGGCACTTTGATAAATTCAGACCCAACTTATGTTAGCTAAAATGTTTTGTTTAGACCCTATAGGAAATTTAAAGCCAAGAAAATTATTTGAATGCTATATACCAGGGATGCCAAAAAGTGTCTATACATGTCTTATATTCATCTTTTGTTATCGGTATATGTTGAGTATTACAATTTCAATACAGTTTTTTCTTTTCTTAAAATGTTATACATTTTTTTGGCACCTCTGTATATCAAAGTTGCCACATAATCTACTCTTTCATAACGTATATGAGTAGAGTGTATCTGGTAGAGCTGCTGTCCTTTGAGTATACATTCTAAGAAATGGCACATATTATCCAAACCGTTTATAATTTGTATGATTAGAATTCATCCTGGAACATTTTCTGGAGGTTTTCCCCTCCTGTTTGTTTTAAATGGTAGATCATTAGAAAAAGGGAAATACTTATTGGGAATGGGTGACTTGATTAAGTGGACAAGGAAAATCTTAGAAGAAATCACAGAAGACTTTTGGGGGCAAAAAGGATGTGTAGACTTGGGGAGGCAGAAATGAGAAGGAAAGCCATTCCAGGCACTGGTGGACAGCGTGCAAAAAGTTTTAGAGCATAGGGTACTTCCCCTTTCCTCTAATAACAGTACTGTACTCTAATTTTCCTAGGGAACTACCCCTGTCACTTAGGTAAATCCCACCCTGATACAAGGGTGTGCACATGACTCAGGCATAGCCACCTCTCTGGCCACAGTGATTGTTCAGAGAAGGGCATATTTTCCAGTAAGCACACGTGTGTTAATTCTGAATTTTGTATTCAAATATTGAGAAAGGCATGCTCTGCCCTGCCTGGGGTTGCTGAGAGAATAGAGTGTGAGCCTATACAGATTGCCAGTAAGTGGAAAGCAGAGCCAAAAGATGGAAAGAATGGGGGCTGCTGGCAGAGTGGCTCAGTTGGTTAAGAGTTGGCTTAAGAGTGCAGGCTTTGAGCAACAGGGCTGCCAGTTCGATTCCCACCTGGGCCAGTGACGCTGCACCCGAGCTGAGCTGTCTCTGAGCTGCCAACAGGTGGCAGGATGGTTCACCTGGTGTAACAACAAGATTGCCTGTTCGATGGTGGGCTTTGCCCACCTGCAACCAAGACTGAACTCGGCACCTTGAGCTCAGCCGCTGCCCGGATGGCTCAGTGGATAGAGTGTGCGCTCTTAATAAGGCTGCTGGATTCCACTACCCCATGGGATGGTGGCTATACCCACCCGCAACTAAGACTGAACACAGCACCTTGGCTTAGAGGCCACGAGCTGCTGAGGGGAAGCTGGATGGC